GGACTCGAGTGGAAACATTTGCAATCAGGGCAGATAAATCTGGAGTGGTGTCTGAATGGTGCAAAGAGTTAGCACTCTCGGCTGCCAGCTGAAAAATTGGAGGTTCAAGTTCACTCCGAAGCAACTTGAAAGAAAGGCCTGCTGGTCTAATTTTTAAAAATCAGCCATCAAAACCCAAGTGGGGAGCCATTCTCCTCCTACACACAGTGGGTCGCCCTGCGTGTGTGGACCTGGGCGGCGCCGGCAGAGGGAAGGCAGGAGAGGTCCAGGACAGAGTGAGCTCACCCAGAATGCGCGTTCACTGCACTGCAGGCCGATCACCTGGAACATTTGTTAAAATCGCCGAAGTCCAGGTCCCATTCGGATCTTGCGTTCTAAAACGTCATGACTGGATGGGCAGCTATAGATACTGCTGTTGTTATGCGCTGTTGAGTCAATAATGATTCACAGTATCTTATGAACATCAGGTGGGAACCTTCTCCTGTCCTGCACCATGCCCACAATACAGAGATCCAGTATTTAGCCAACTCTTACTGCACACTTAATAAATTTAAATTACTGCCCTGGGCTGTGATAAGCAAAATCATAGCAACATGTTGTGATTATGAAGAAGTGTCACAAGAAGTACAAAGACTTTGACAGTGATTTCCTCGAACCAGAGGAGCTACGTCTACATGCCAAGCTCCACGACTACGGCAGGTTTGGAGAGAAAAAACAAATCTGTGGTTAGCCAATGTCTTTTTAGTTGGTTGGTAATTCCAGTAAGTATCTTCCTCCGTTGTTGTTGTTGTTGTTGTTGTTGTGTACTGTAGAGTTGAAACCGACCCATAGCTGACCCTCTGCCAGGTTTTCAGAGGCAGTAATTGCATGAGAGGAGATTGCCTGTCCTTCTCCTGCAGAGCAGCTGGTGGCCTTGAACCTTATGCCTTTGGGATTTCACCACAGCTTCTTGCCACTAGGCCACCAGAGTGCCCTTCTTTCTCCTATACATATTTTGGTACACCATTTATAAATCAAACAAATATAAACAAAATAAAAATAAGCATATCAGGGGAAAGGGAGTTTAATTGTTTTTTTTTTATTAAGTTGTACTAAATAGATAAAATCTATTAGGCTCATAGACAAGCTTTGTTCATTTAAACTGCATCTTTACATCCACAATATTTCATTTTCTATTTTTAGCACGTCAAATAATTGTCACGGCAAGTTTACCGCTGATTAAGCCAAAATGTTCTCATATACTTACACATCTATTCGAAACCTTTTTAGGTTGAACTGGCACATACAGTGAAACTCATCTAATACCCTTGATTAACTAAGCCAAGTTTGCATACTCCTTTCAACTTAAAATCAGAAGCCTCAAATCAAACTCATTATTCTTAAAACATTTCGTAATAATGCTAACATTGCCACTTGGTTACAATGAAGGCCAGATCTTTCCATGGTAATTTTAAAAATATTTTTGTTTTGGTTGTTTGTTTGGGGGTCTCTCTCTCTAAAGAAAAGGACATAAACAGAAACAAGCACGGGATGGCGGGGCGGGAAGCCACTCCTTCTTGCAGTCAAGTCAGAACCCACTCGTACCTGACCCTCCAGTGGGTTTTCCGAGACTGTAAAATGCACAGGAGGAGACAGCCTCATCTTTCCCCCTTGGAGCGACTGGTGGATTTGAACTGGCAGAGTTATTTATCGATCAAATTTTAAGGGGTCTCTCGATGGTGCAAGCAGTGATGCGCTGGACTACCAGAGGCGCCACTTCCGACCTGTTTACCGAAGAAGGAACGAGGCTCAGTAAGGGGGTGGCCCCACAGCCACTCAGCCCATGTGGCAGGAGGAGGACTGTCCACAAGCTCTCCAAGCTGAGCTCAGAACTCACAGAAATCAAGGTGTATATTTCCGAAGCAGTAACAGTGGGCCCCGGAGGGGGGTGGCCAGACCTCTGTCAGCCTTTGACCTCAATTCACACTCAGCCTTGACTTCTTTCCTGACTAGTGGCTCTGTACCTGAACAGTGCTTGCTCCTTAGATCTCATGGGCCAGATTTTCTCCCTACCCCAAATTCCCTGGAGGCTAGAGAAGGTCTTAAGACAGGCAAGTTCCCACCACTGCCATTAATCTGGCTCTGACTTGTGGTGACTCCACCACACATAATAGAAGGAAGTGTCACCTGGTAGAGAGCCACCTTCACCTGTCAGTATATCTGAGTCTGTTGTTGTGATGACTGTGTATTTTGAATGTTTTCCACTTAGGGGTTCACCTTCCAGCACTATTAGGTCATGATCCATTGAGTTTTCACTGACTGAATTTTAGAAGGAGATTAACACGTCTTTCTTAGTGGAAGTTCGTCTGAAGCATGTCCATTAAGAGTAACTTTGCTGGTTTTTTAAATGCTGCTGCCAAAGCTTTCAGCCTCACAGGGCCCTTCAAGGAGCACAGTATGGCTCTGCGACAGGGGGTGTTGGTCTGCACACAGTAGGGCCAAAAAAAGCACTAGCAAGGGCCTCAGCCTTAAATACGAGAGACAGGAGGGAGGTTTGTAATCACAACTTCCATTTCTTTATGCTGGGATGCCAAACTGTGTTTATTATTCTACTGTTTAGATCTCAGAGTATCTTTTTTTTCCTCATAGATACAATATTAAGAGCAATGCCTAGGTTCACAGAAATCTAACCAAGTAGTTAAAAATCTGGCCCACAGGCAATTAGCAAAATTATGGTGGAGATAAATACTCATGTACAATAGAAAGTAAAGGATAAATTCCCATCTCAATATGTTGTTGTTGTTGTTAGGTGCTGTCAAGTCATAGACGACTCATAGCGACCTGATGAACGAAAGGTCTGAGCACCGTTCATAGAGTATCTGAGACAAGCCATTTCAGAAGTGGATGCTACTCCTACATCCAGGCTTGTTTTAATCGGGGAGCACCACCAAACACTGTCCACCATGGGTGACCATTATCACATTTGGCACATCAATGTCACAGTGTTCAGCATCACAGCAAGCACAAGTTACCTCTGTACAGCAAATATACAGACCAGTGCTATACCACCTACAAGAAAGTTTGACAAAAACCAGTTAGAACCAGGCCCAGGGGCCACAGATTAAAATCACCCACCTTGGGCTTGGTAGCATAACTTTCTGCCAACAAGACCAACTTAGCTCTCTCTATACCAATAAAAAAATAGAAATAACTTTAAGAAACTTTTTGTTTATTAACATGAGTAGACTCAGGGAAAGGCTATTTGGAGAAAAATTAAGCTACAGATGGAAGATTTGGGGGACTTGAGGAGGACTTTAGATGTTGAAGCCACTGTTCCTATAGTCTCTGTCTCCTTTCATGGTAAAGGAAGAGCTTCTTTCACATCTGGTACACCTCCCTATCGAACACGATGACTCTCATCAATGTTAAGGACTTCAATCTGTGTGCGACTTACAACAGAATGAAAAAGAGGGGGGAGATTTTTTTTTCCTAAAGGACTTGTGGGGGGCGGGGCTGGGGGGCAATTGCAAACCAGTAAAGTGGAATGGGTAAAGAGGCTTTGCACAGGAAAGGGTAGGGTGTGTGCACATAAGATTCTTCTGGAAGGAAGGCAGAGGTGATGGCGTTAACTAGTCCAAGCCTTCCGATCCTGCAACTCAATCATCTCTAACAAGCAAGGCTGTGTGGAGAAAGGCTTATGTGTGTCGGGGGACTGGAGATGAAAGAGTCAACACTGGCGCTCTGTGCTCAGTGCACGGTCTCTTAACAACAAAGCAGTCATAACTTGCAGTACTTTGCCATTTCTGGTGAATAAATGCATCAGGCCACTAACAAAAGGTGGTCCGTTTAATCTACCGACTAATCCATGGTAGAAAGATGAGCAGTTTCCTCCCAGGATTCCCAGCCTGGACGGCCTGATGGGAGCTGCTGGGAGTTGGAACTGACCTGAGGGGGAGGGTGAGATGATGTAAAATACACCGTCCATGAGTGACTTACGGCAAATGGTTTTCCAGCCAATTTGCAGATTTCCAGGCTTTGTAATGATGGGCTTCAAGGAGGAGTCTGGGTCGGTTCAGCCAACTATCTACTGTGCTCTGTGCAGACGCGTGCTAACGTGACTGTCGGGCTGGCCCAATGAAGCCTTCCATCAGCTCTGCTATTCTGTGGGCTTTTTCATTATTTTGATGGTTATTTATGCAAAATACAAAGAATATACATGAAGTAGGAAGTTGCAGTGCTAACCTAAAGGACACGCCTCGCTGGTGGTTCAAATCCACCCCATCTCCTCCCATGCAGTTTGTAGCCTCAGAAACACAGTGCACAGAGTTGGAGCCCAGTGGGCAGAGTCGAGAGCCCAGTGAGCAGAGTCGAGAACCCAGTGAGCAGAGTCGAGAACCCACTGAGAAGAGTTGAGAACCCAGTGGACAGAGTTGGCTCTGCCTCCACTCTAAGGAGGTGAGAGTGTGTTTTTGTTGTTGTTGTTGTGCAGTTTCTAATGCATGTGGTTTGTTTGAGTTGTTATTTTTGCTTTATTTTGCTTTACTTAAAATCCTCAATAAGCCGAAATCCATTTGGTTGAACGACACATAAATTCAAGAATCATCGCACAGCTGAATTTGGGGACTGCGTTCAATTGCCCAATGGGCCCTTTCTTTCTGTAGAAATTTTACAAAAATAAAAGGAAACAATCACCAAGTGGTTTTATGGAACAATGAAAAGGCACTGAAAACCTAGGCATGTTTTGTTAAAAATGCGTGCTTTCTGATGTGAAGAAGACACTGACGGGGACACCCCCGCACTGATCCCTTACTCTGTCCACCTCTCCACACAGATTCCTCAGCAAGGCTGCTGAGACTCTGTGGGCAGGAGAGAGAGGGCTAGTGTCCTCACACGGTGTGGCCCAGAGAGTCCCGGTGCTGGGGAGACCTGGGCCCCAAAGGCAGAGTAGCTGGGACCCCAGAGGAGCAGGGTGGACAGAGAGGGTGCCAGGGCCTCATCTTGGACTGTTGCTGGTCTCCTGTCTACACGGTCACCATGATCTGTTCCAGAGGCTTCCGTCTGAGGTCAGGCACAGTGGCCCCTTTGCTGGGGTAGCCCACAGGGAGCAGCACCAAGAGCTTCTCATTCACGGGGCGGTCCAGGAGCACCCTGAGGCGAGGGCTACAGTTGAGAGGTGTGGTGGTGACCGTCACCAGGCCCGCATTCTAGGAGAGGGAAGGACACACGTTAAGGTCACTGGTGGAGACCACAGCCGGTGTCTAAAGCGGGGACATCCTCAGTCCTATTAGAACCACCACTAGCTCCATCCTTTCTTTAAACAAACAGTTATGGATGGCATGAGGTTTCCCCATAAACTCCCTACCCTTATGCTGAAATCCTAATCCTTGTAATAGAAATAAGTTTGGAAATAGAGGTTTCCCTGTGTCATGTTGGGGAGCCCTGGAGGTGTAATTTCCCTGTGTCATGTTGGGGGGCCCTGGAGGTGTGATTTTCCTTGTGTCATGTTGGGGAGCCCTGGAGGTGTAATTCACAATGAGTGGAACTGCTATCTCAAAGGCCATGTGTCTACGAACCCACCAGCAACTCCAGGGAAGACACGTGTGCAGCCTCCTCCCCTGTGACTTGTGGCCTCAGAGACCCGGTGGTGGGTCTCAGTGAGTGTGAGAGTTTGGGACCTGCTGGTGAGGTCACATCAGGGTAGGGCAGACACCCGGACCAAACTATCTCTGATGATAGTCTTACAAGGAGCAAAGACTAAGCATGATTCCCAGGAAAGACAGTCATTGCCAACAAGCCCAGGAACATCCAGTGGACAGGTCCCCAGCAAGCCCGGGATTCTGGAAGAGACAAGAAGCTGGCTCTCCCTCTAAAACTGATGCTCAGGAATCAGCTTTCCAGCCTCTTCAACTCAGAGAAAAGAAATCTCTGTTAAAGCCGCTCACTGGGGTGTTCGTGTTATAGCAGCACCAGGGAACAGAGGGTGACCACCAATAACTGCCATCTCAGGCAATGGGAAAAGTGGATTCATCTACATGTTGTCACCTCCCCGTCCACCCAACAGGGGGGAGCTTCTTAAAGTAGCCTTACTTTTCATTGCCATTTCCTTAAGAATGACTTTTTCATGGGGGGAAAAAGTGAGTCCTGGTGGCATAGAATGTAATGGGCTGGGCTGGTAAGAGTTTGAGTCAACTAGCCATTCCCCAGAACAGAGATGGTGGTCTCCTCAACAAAGATACACGCTGGAAGGGGCCTTTGAGTCAGAACCAACCCCATGGCAGTGGCTTTGGTCAGATAGTGGTTAAAGGATTCAGCTGTGAACCAAAAGGTCAGCAGTTTGAACCCAGCAGCCACTCTGCAGGAGAAAAATGTGGCATCAGCTACAATTTTGGAAGTCCTCTGGGCAGCTTTGCCCTATAGGGCCAATGAGTCAGAACTGACTCCATGGAGATGCGTTTGAACCTGTGGGAAGTAATTTGGAGAATCTCCAAAGGAATGACCAAAACAGGAGGGCATTGATGATGCTAAAATTCAACAGCGGGGCAGAACACCATCCTCATCTTAAAATATCAGGGTCCTATGGTAGAGAACCCCATGGCAGAGGGAAAACCGCATTAACCCCTCTAACCACTAACATCAGTAACATCAGTCCAATGATTAAGGTGTTCATCTGCAAACCCAAAAGTTGAAGGTTGGAGTCTACCCAGAGGCACCTGAGACCCAGGGAGTCAGTTAGTTCAATGGCAGCTGGTGGGTTAAGGAACGTTTGCTAGACAATCCCAACCTTGCATTTCCAGTAGGGCTGCATGTCTAAGCCTGGAACACAGACAAAAGCCAATCCTCCAAGGACTGAATGTGTGGCAAGCTCGTCCCTTGTCTGGGATTCTTCCAGAAGGAAGCTTCTTCAAGAAGTTTTCTTTCTTACCAGTTCAAGAGCTACTCAGAAGAACTACCCTTCAAGGAACGCTAGAGGGCAGCAAAGTCCACGGTGAAGTGATTCTCGCCAGGAACCACTGTGCAGGTGGCCTTTCAGTTTTGGCTGCAGTTTGAAGGACCCTAACATGGTCTGAACCATGCAGGAGCAAAATAATAAAGCAACTCCTTACATAGATTTTCAAATAACCTATACAAACACTCTTCTTTCACGTAACAACGATATTTTGTGGTATAGTTCTCACACACAACGTTTTATTATAGAGAGCAAAATATACCGATGTTTTTGCAATCTATTGTCCCTTAAAAGTATGATCACAAGAAGCTTCACCACAATCTCAGAGGTGCACAGTTTGAATCCACCAGACGCTCTGCTGGAGAAGGAGGGGCAATCTCCTCCTCTACCAGTCAGATCTGATTTGATGGTACACACACACAAAATAATACAATTTAAAACAAAAAAGTATGATCACTTGCTACTGTAATCTTTTATGCTTCATTTATAGTATGTTGACCACTTCTTTCTCCTTCCACCTCCCCACCAGGACGCCACTCTTTCAGTTAGCAGCCAATCATTTGTACCCCCAGGGAGGCTGTACCAAACAGGAGACGTTCAGTGAGGGTGGGTGCATTAATAAATTGAATAGCATGGGAGGCATAACCTCCTTTTTATGCTTGGTGTGGGTCCAGCTCTTTGGTGCTGGACATTGTCCAAGCACAAGGATGTGTTTCTAACAGCACATGAATTCAACTTCCCAGGAAAGGAGTTCTGTGATGGAAACTTCCTGTAACTCTCTCTTCTAAGATAGCAGCAGTGAACACACAGAGGACCTCAATCCTTGTGCTTCAGGGATCTAACACTTTCAGTGTGTCCACCAAAACCCTTGCATATCCTGGTCCCTCTAGAAAAAAAGACACTGCCATCCAGTTAATTCTGACTTGTTGAGTCTCTTCATCAGATTTTTCAAGGGAATAAATCTTTGAAGTTATTTTGGCGGTCTACAGTACATCCAATACTCTACACCAACACCACAATTCAGTTGCATTGATTCTTCTTCAGGCATTCTTAAGTCATTTTCCAACCTTCAAAAACATAGGAAGCAACTGGAGAGAAAAGCCCCTTAGTTTGGATCAGATGCACCTTAGTCTTTAAACGGACATCCTTGCTCTTTAGTGCTTCGGAGAAGTCCTTGACAGCAGAGTTTTCCAATGTAGCACCTCTTTTGATTTTTTTACTACTAGTACCATGAATGTTAAGTAAAATTAAATAATTCACAGCTTCAATCTTTTCTCCATATATTATGATATTACCTCTTGAAGGCTATGGTCTATGATTTTCTTCAGCAAGCACTTTAAGTTATCCTTTTGTAAAAATTATTTCTCTGTGTGTACTGTCAAATCAGATCTGATACAGGAGGAGATTGTCCCTCCTTTTACTGCAGAACATCTGATAGATTAGAATTGCACACCTCTGGTATTGCAGTGGAGCTTCCTGCCACTAGGCCACCAGAGCTCCCTAAGTTATCCTTCTTCTTAGCAAGGAAGACAAAACAGGTGATGACTTCAATCTTTTCTACGTCTATCATGATGTCTATTGGCCCAGTGGTGAAAATTTTTGTTTTCTTGATGTTGAGATGTAATTCATGTTAAAAGCCTTTTCTTTTCTTCTCTCTCCTCTCTCCTCTCCCCTCTCTTTCCCCTCTCTTCCCCTCTCCTCTCCCCTCCCCTCCCCCCTCTCCTCTCTTCTCTCTTCTTTTCTCCTCTCTTCTCTCTTCTTTTCTCCTCTCTCCTCTCCTCCTCTCTTCTCTCTCCTCTCCTCCTCTCTTCTCTCTTCTCTCCTCCCTCTCCTCTTCTCTCCTCCCTCTCCTCTTCTCTTCTCTTCTCTCCTCCCTCTTCTCTTCTTTTCTCTCCTCCCTCTCCTCTCCTCTCCTCTTTTCTCTCTTCTCTCCTCTTTTCTCTCTTCTCTTCTCTTTTCTTTTCTCTCTTCTCTTTTCTTTTCTTCAGTAAATGCTTCAAGCCCTCTTCACTTCTGCAAGCAATGTTGTGCCATCTGCATAAAGCAGGTTGTTGGTGAATCTTCCTCCAATCCTGATGCCACTTTTTTAAAAAAAAAAATATATAGTCCAGCTTCTTGAATGATTTGTTCAACATATGCATTTAATCATGCAGTGTTTCCTTGTCCTGTTTGGACAACTGCTTCTTGATGTGAGTCTAGGTTTCAAAAGAACACAGCGCCTTTGAATTGTGGGGCTGGTAAAGAGTTGACCATCCCATGAACTGTCAAAAGAACAAGCAAGTCTGTGGAGGCAAAAATCGTGAAAATTTGTCTCCCTTCATTTGGGCATATTTCAGGAGAAACCGGTCCTTGGAGGGAGACATGCTGGTAATGGTAACTGCTGTGCTTATGAGCTGTGGAGCAGAACTAAGTCCTAGCTCACCCTCCAGTGGGTTTTCCGAGGCAGAGGATTGCCTGGGAAGAGAGTGTCCATCTATCTCCCACCGAGCAGCTAGTATAATCACAAGCCTGTGAGCTGGAAACACAGTTCTTTACCACAAAGACCCCAGCATTCCCTTAGGAAAGGCCAATCAAAGAGAGGAAAACCTTCCCGTGATATTGACCGACCCTGTGGCTTCCACAATGGACTTGAACATGACAGAGAACATGAGGAGGGTGCAGGGCAGAGCAGAGTTCACTCCTGTTGTTCATAGGGTCGCTCTGAGTCACAGCTGACTTGTTGGCACCTAACAACAACACTTCTTTATGGGAGTGGACTCCTCCTCCTTCCCCCAAGAGCAGTTAGTGGATTTGAACTGCTGGCCTTTCATTTTTACTAAGCAACATGCTAACTTACTACCAACATACTAAGCACTGCACCACCAGGGTTTTTTATTTGGATCCAGATAATGGTGATAAACACAGGACAGACTCTTTTCTGACCATGAAATAATAACAGAAATAAATTTCCAGGGAAAAAACCTGGATAGAATAACTTTTAGTTGATGTGTTATTGTTTGCTGTTGTTTTAGAACTGACCTACAGCTGACCCTCAGTGGGTTTCCAGAGGCTGTAAATGGAATGGGAGGAGCTTGTTCGTCTTTCTCTCACAGAGCAGCTAGTGGATTCAAACCATGTACCTTTGGGTTGGTAGTGCAATTCCTTACCACTAAACCACTAGAGCTCTGTTGATTGATGTAGTAACTACAAGTCCTAACAGAGGGAGGGGGACCAGATAGAGTGTCAGCTGGTCCATTTCCAGGGGTCCATGAATCAGAAGTTGACATGTCTGAGTAAAGTCACTTTGTCCCCCATTCTCATCCCTTGCCCTGGGACTGGTGGTGGGGGCATACCTGGAGGGCAGCCAGGAGGAGGCCACATGAGATGGAAACACTGATCTCATTGTAGTAGTGAGTCTTCTTTCTCCCATTTGCATCAAGACCATACACTTGCTTGAAAATGAGGATTAAGACAGGGGCTGTGTCCAAGTACTCTTTGATCCAGTTGGTTCTGGGGAGGAAAGCAAAGCTGAGGTGATTATTTGCATCTTAGAGGTTTCTGTCCTCTCTTTGTGACCTTATCTCTGATGTGGCCATCAGGATGGGCACCGAAATGCAGGTGGAAGGCAGGGACTGGAGTGTTCTGGGAAGAGATGGGATGAGCAGAGGCAGTTGGGAAGGAGAGTGAGAGCAGGGCAGTCCAGCAGACTTCAGAGCATGGTTCAGCCTGAGGTTCAGGGCAGGGGTGGGTTGTGGGTTGCACACAGACTTGGAGAGTCCTGGGCTTTGAGTCACGGAGAGTTACCACAGGGTTCTAAGTGGAAGCATCCTCTAACAGATTTCAGAAAGGGGTGGGCTGGTGAGGGAGAACGGCAGTAACAAGGGAACACTGAGATGTAACAACTGCAACTTTTTCTCGAGGGAGGGAGACCAGACGGGGCGCAAGAGTATTATTGCAGGCAGGGAGGGCTGGGTGGGGAGACACAGCCCCAGAAGAACTGAGGAGGAACACACGCTGCTCTGGGGGGGAGGGGATGGGGGGATCTTGCACAGGAGTATTCATGTGAGTAGACATGGGTGACGGTAAAGTGTACGTGCAATTACAGGTGGGCAAACAGGACCGTCTCAGTGAGCCTAAATCCAGAAAAACAGAAGGGAACATATGGGGAGTCATTTCTCTGAGGTATAAAAGGTGATCTTAAACTTTTCCAATTTAAAGTACACCTTCCCTATCCATTACCTTATTCCTTACATTTTAGGGAGTCTGGTGACCTTTGATAAATCTTGATAGTTGCAAAGGGTCTTCTGGCCTTTTGTTCACAGGGTCACTATGAGTTAAGCTCCACTTGAAGGCAACCATCAACAACAACAACTGGTGGCATAATGGTCAGAAACTGCATCAATCCCAAAGGCACATGGTTCTAATCCACCAGCTGCTCCATGGGAGGATGGACAATCTCTTCTTGTGCCTCTGAAAACCCGCTGGAGGGTCAGCTGTAAGTCCGTTCCAGTTCATTGGCACATAACAGCAAACATACATTTTGACAAAGGTGAAATTCTAGTACAGATCCTTATAGGAAAGCTATTCCTGTAGTTGAGTATATAGACATTTTTCCAGGGAGTATTAATACATGAGTAAGAAATAGCCACCATTCATTTCATTTTTGGCCTTCTTTCTGAAACAATCTAAGCCACTTTACTGCCATGAAACACTATGCCCCCAACAGCATGAGCAGAAAAAAGCAGATGAGTTGAACTTCATCAAACTTCAAAAGCATTTGTGCATCAGAGTGAAGAGACAGCGTGTAAATGGGAAGGAAATTCTCAAGTCGTTACGTCTGATCCCATCTGAGCTAGATTGGATCCCACACCTGATTTCAACAAGAAATGCTGCTGACCACTTGTCTCCGGCCCGTGAGACTCAGAACAAGCCAAGGATCAGCCCTGGTTTAGCATGCCGAGTTTCTCCCAAAGAAAGTGTGTGTACATAAACACGAATGTTGTTGTTGTTGTTGTGTACCACCATGTCAGAACGACTCAGAGCTGACCGTCAAGCAAGCTTTCAAAGGCAGGAAATGCACAGAAGGAGACTGGCCGTCCTTCTCCCACGGATAAGCTGGTGGATTCCAACCATGGGCCTTTGGAGTTGCAGTGCAATTTCTTACCGCTCGACCCCCAGAGCTCTCTACATGCACAAATGTTGTTGCTGTTAGATGCCATGAGTCAAGGACAACTTATAGTGACCCCGTAAACAGGAGACCTGAACCCTGCCCTGTCCTGTGCCGTCCTCATCATCTGACACGCTCAAGCCCATTGCTGCGGTCACTGTGTCAGTACACCTAATTACAGGTCGTCTTCTCTTAAGTCAACCCTCCACCTTGTGTGTAAAATACGAATATACGTAAATGTAAAACTGAATGTATATTAATATATATAAAATGAATATACATTCATCTCCATGTATAGTTGTTGTTGTTGTTAAGTGCCGTGAAGGCATAGATGACTCATAGTGACCCTTTGAACGAAAGACCTGAACACTGTTCGTAGAGTTTCTGGAGGCAAGCTATTACAGAAGTGGATGCCACTCCTGCTTCCAAGTTTATTTTAATCAGGAAGCTCCACCAAACACTGTCCACAATGGGTAACCATTATCACATTTGACACATCAGTGTCACGGTGTTTAGCCTCACAGCAACCATGAGTTATCTCTGTACAGCAATGCACAGACCAGTGCTATGCCACCTAGAAGAATGTTTGACAAAAAAACTATTTAAACCAGGCCTGAGGGCTGCAGACTAAAATCACCCACCTTCAGCTTGGTAGCATAACTTTCTGTCCACTAAGCCAACGAGGATCTCTATGCATGTGTGTGTGTGTATACATATGTGTGTGTGTCTATGTGTATATGTATATAATATATCTTTATTTTTACACTTACATTTATTGAGGGGGGGGGGTCTGGTGGCCTAGCAGTGTGAAAAAAGGAAGGGTAATCTCTTGCCATGCCATTTACTGCTTTTAAAAAACTGCTAGAGTGTCAGCTATGAGTCAGTTCCAACTCAATGGCACAATATTTTCATCAGCTATTGTGTGTGTGTGTGTGTGCGTGTGTGTGCGCACGCACGCGCATGCAGTTAGAATCCACCAGCTGTGAGTGGGAGAAGGATGGACAAGCTCCTGCTGTGCAGTCTATTGCCTCAGAAAACCCACTGAAGGGTCAGCTATGAGTCAGTTTCAATTCGATATCACAAAACAGCATGTATAATGAATAGTATATACACATACATATCTACATATACACATTCAGTTTTACGTTTACATTTATTATTGTACAGTATGTATTTGTGGAAGGAGGAGTGGCATCCACTTCCGTAATAGCTTGCCTCCGGAAACCCTATGAACCTGGAGAGAGGATGAAAGGTACCCAAGCGTTGAGGACTCTCCTTCATAGAGTTGCTATGAGTCACCTGCTACTCCACGGCACTTAACAACAACAACAACATGTATTCATGTTTACTATGGAGATCGGGTGGCCAACTGGTAAAGATCTGCACTACCAACCCAATGGCAACCAGTTCAAATTCACCAGCGTCAAGGGGGAAATAAGGGTAATTTCCTCCTGTGCAATTTACAGCCTCTGAAAACCCACTGGAGGGTCAGCTACGAGTTGATTCCAACTCAACAGCACATAACAACAACACTATACTTATTTATGTATACATATACTATATGAAGCAAAGTATTATAATAGAATTCTAAAGAGCTGGAATAAGAGGAAAAAAGGAATTGAAACTGTCAACAATTTCATCTTGCTTGTATTTACAATTAACACCCTTAGTACCAACAGTCAGAAAATAAGGAGATGCATTGCACTGGGGAAGTCTACAGTTAGGGACCTGTCCAAATAATTGAAGAATAATGATATCAGTTGGAGGACTAAGGTGCATCTGATTCAGGCCATAGTCTTTCTAATCACTTGCTATGCATCTGAGAACTGGACAGTGAATAAGGATGACAGAAGAAGAATGTCTTTGAGCCATGGTGTTGGAGAAGAGTGCTGAGCATCCCATTGACGGCCAAAAGAATCAGATACATCTTGGAGAGGGTGCAAGCAGAGTGGTCTTTGGAGGCAAGAAACATGAGGCCTCGCCTCACATACTTTGGGCATGTTGCTAGAAGGGGCTATTCCTTGGAGAGGGACCTGTGGCTGAAAAGGGTGGAGGCTCAGCAAGGAAGAGGAAGACCCTCGACCAGGTGGATTGACATGGTAACTGCCTCAAAGGGCTCTTGTGTGTCAGGAAGTGTGAGGATGGCACAGGATAGAACAGGGTTCAGATCTTTTGTTCATAGAGTCACTATAAGTCATACTTGATTTGGCAACACCTTACAACAACAGCAACATTCACTTAATGTTGTTGTTGTTATATGCCGTTGAGTCATTTGCGACTCATAGCGACCCTATGTACAACAGCCCTAAACCCCGCTCTATCCTGTGCCAATCGCATTGCTTCTGACACACCCATCCCGAGTGCCCCAGTCACTGAATCAATCCACCTCATAGAGGCTCTTCCCCTCCTGCGCTGTCCCTCTACTCTACCCAGCATGATGTCCCTCTCCAAAGACCTGTCTCTCCTTGCAACATGTCCAAAGTATGTCAGACGAAGCCCCAGAATCTTTGCCTCCAAGGAGTAGCCTGATTTAATACTCTCTAGGATGAATCTGTTTGTTTTCTTGGCAGTTCATGGTACATTCAATACTCTTCTCCAATTATTATAATGTTGTAAACTTATTACCACTATTCAAGTCTAAAACTTTCTCACTCTTAATATAAATTGGGGTCCTCTTAAACAATAAATCTGTTTTCTTCTCCACTGAAACCACTTCAATCACTACTAAACTTATGTCATTAATCACTAATGAACTTAGTTCTCTCTATGCATTGGCTTATCCTAGATATAAGTGGGCTATAAATGGGTTCCTACAATATTTGTCCTTTCATGCCTGACATACCACTCCGCATAATGTCCATCCACATTGTTTCACGTGTCAGAACTGATGACTGAACAAAAGCAAACTTTTTCACACTTAACAAGACTGAGAAACTACACTCATTGGTGCTTCATGTTAGAAGGTCAAACACTTCTCTCCCACCGACCATCCTACCTCAGTTTCTTCAGGTCCCTCACCCATCTGTCTCCCATTCTTCTCTTGTAGTTGATCTCCTCTTCTTCTTCGATGATCTCCCGGATCTTGTGCTTCATGTTTGGATCCTTCACAACCACAAAGGTCCACGGCTCTGTATGGGCTCCACTTGGGGCTGTTCCTGTCACCCATTAGAACAGAGTCAGAAAAGCACAGTCGTGGTAAACAAGAACCCACACTGGCTCTCAGTGGTACTGGTTCATTCAGAGAACAAAATGTTTGAGTTGACCAGAGACACCCAGCATTTTTCGTCATTACTGTGGACAGTTGTGAACCAGCTAATTGATGTCATGACCAGTAGCTCAAGCGCTGTGGGGATCCATCACGACTTTTCCGATTACCTAGAAGATGTCCCCAAGTACCAACCCCTCAACCTCAAAGGAGCTCGAAGGAGCAATCCTGAACGCTGATGTTTCCTGGCATGCCATTCATATTCTTGAGAAAGCATAAACTCTTGAAGCGTGTTGGAAATGGTGATAAAGTCCTACTATGGTTTGACAACTAAATTACTTAGTGTCACGTTCATAAAGCAAAGCTTAGGGCCTAGTACTATTGGGCAATTTCTAGTTTTAAATGGTTTGTGGTTTCATCGGGACACAAGAAAACTCTCTATCTTGAGTCTTCTGAACACTCTGTGGGGTGTCTGCTCACTCTCCTCGACTTGAGGGGTCCTCAGTCACCCATGAGTGAGCTCTGCATCCGGCCACAAAACTTCACAGTTCATGGACTTTCAAGGAACCCAAATTCCCTTTGTGATTCCAGTCAGGGCCTGGGCCAGCTTCTGACCACGACTTTCTAGTTGTGCTGGACATTGTAGAGATGGTCCGTTGTTCCCAAGGGTGGACCACAACAACCCTCTGGGGGTTATTCTCAAATCAACTCCTTCTTTTTATCTAGTGAATAATATGGAGCTCGGGTGGCCTTGTGGTAAGACGTTAGTTGCACTGCCAACCCGAAGGCAGGCAGTTCAAATCTTCTCTGTGGGAGAAGGATGGGCAACTCCTGCAGTGTGAGTTACTGCCTCCGAAAACCTGGAGGGTCAGCTATGAGTCCGTGCCAATTAGATGACACGTAACAACAACAGTTAGTAATAGAGGGGCCCAAATTCTGCCTGTGAAGATGGATCCAGGCCTGCTTTCTATTGATGGGTTTGTTTGCACAAACCACTGCCCGTGGTAGAGAGGGCGTGAGCAAGTTGTGAAATGCAGGTTAAAGCCTGACCATGGGTCACTAACTCCTTAGCAGAGTGATTCCTGTTTGCTTTGTGCCTGCGTCACTTGCTCACTAAATATCTGAATCTCTGAAAGTAAGAATGAAATTGGATGGTTCCCTAATGTTTTCACTTATGACAAATTTACCTACACCTACCTCTCTCTCTCTCTCTCTTTCTGCTCACTCTGCAATCTCTCTTTCTCTCCCTGATCTCACTCTGTAATCTCTCTCTCTCTCTCTCTGTGTCTCTCTCTCTCTCTCTCTCTCTCTCTCTCTCTCACACACACACACACACACACTCTCATAGAGGAAGTTTAGCAACTGTTCTTGATTAGTTAAAAGACTCAACAACTTGGTGTCTTTGTCCTCTCAAGTGAAATGAGATGTTTTATTCTTACTTTCTTGACAAAGAAAAATTTCCTTTTGGAGAGTGGATTCACATTGAGTAGGTATGGAATATTTTCTGTGAATGACAGTGAATAGAGTTAACAAAGGAGCCTTGGTGGCACAGTTAAAGTGTTCAACTGCTAACCTGAAGGTCAGCAGTTCAAGCTCCCCAGCCGCTGTGAGGCAGCCTGCTCCTGTGAGACGAGGCAGCCTCTGCTCCTGTAAAGAGTGTAGCCTATACAGGAAGCTGTACTCTGTCCTCCAGGGTCTCTATTTTCAGAAGTTTCTGCTGTGGCCACAGCCAGCCTAAAGAAGTCTGTACTGGTGGTTGTTTTTGTTTTGTGCCATTGAGTCTGAACTGATCCATAGCTGACCCTCCCACCCACAAGTGGGTTTTCAGAGACAATAAATCTCACAGGAGGAAATTGACTATCTTTCTCCCATGGAATGACTGGTGGATTCGAACCTCATGCCTTTGAGCTGGCAGTGAAATGCTTTACCACTAAGCCTCCTGAGCTCCCTTTTTACTGATTAGAATAAATAAAATAGAAAGCATGGCGTTCCTGGGACTCAGATGATACGAGGGTAAGATTGCAGAGGTGAACATGTCACTCTAGGCTTTATTCATGAGTTTGAACTTCAGCATCTCCCCTGTGTGGTCACCTCAGTGGGGTCACTGACATTCTCGTAGACCCAGTGCACAGTTACAAACCTGCTGCCTTGATGACGTTTTCAATGACTTCCATTGGGATTTGCTCATCACTTATGAACCTGACAGACCGTCTCTGATTGAGAAGCTCGTAGAATTCCTGTGATCTTTTTATCATCTCCTTCTCGGGATACTGGGTGTGAGAGAACGGGATGAAGTCAACACTTTCTTCAAACTCTGGTCTTTCATCCACATCTACAAAGAACAAGTAGATAGTAAACTGTCTCTCTTGGTCATAGAACAAGGAGCCTGTAGGTACAATAGGTTAAGCTTTGAGCTGCTTACCTAGGGGCCAGCGATTCCAACGTACCAAACGTTTCACAGGAGAAAGATGAGACAGTCTGCTCCCTTTAAAGACTTACAACCTTGCAAATGCTCAGAAAGTTCTACTCCCTCCTATGTTGTTGTTGTTAAGAGCCATCAAGTCATAGACGACTTATAGTGACCCTATGAACAAAAGACCTGAACACGTGTATAACTTTGGTCATTTCTCCATGTTCATAGAGTTTCCTGAGGCAAGCCATTTGAGAAGTGGATGCCACTCCTGCTTCCAAGCTTCTTTAAACCAGGGAGCTCCAGCAAACACCGTCCACCATCAGTAACCATTATCACATTTGGCACATCAGTGTCACAGTGTTTAGCATTACAGCAACCACGAGTTACCTCTGTACAGCAATGCACAGACCAGTGCTATACCACCTAGAAGAATGTTTGACAAAAAACAATTTGAACCAGGCCCGAGGGGCGCAGATTAAAATCACCCACCTTGGCCTTGGTAGCATCATTTTCTGTCCACTAGGCCAATGTAGCTCTCTCCATAGCAGATAGAGAAGACTATTTTAGGGGAGCTCTGGTGACCTAGTGGCAAGGAGCTGCAACTACAATCCCAAAGGTGCACGGTTCGAATCCACCAGGTGCTCTGTTGGGGAAGGAGGGGCAGTCTCCTCCTGTATCAGTCAGATCTGATTTGACGGTACACGCACACAAAAATAATAAAATTAAAAAATTTTTTTAAAAAAGAAGACTATTTTCTTTTTTATTAATTTTTAAATTTTTTATGGAGATTTACGTTTACAGAGGAAATTTATTTTCCATCCAACAATTCATAGATAGTTTATTTCATGGCACTGATCGCCTTCTTTACAAGGTAGAACACATTTCGTTGTGGTTCTTATTTTGGTCTGTCCTTTGACATCCCTTTCTGACTTCTGAGCATCACCCTGCGCTATCACTACCCTTTAGGTCTTGCAGGGTTGGTTGTTCTAAAAGTGTGTCCCTCCTGGGTGTTATCGTCCCCTTTGCGGTGTTGTTTTGTACCATGAGTCTGAGCCAACCAATAAACGACACTGTAGTGGGTATTCAGAGGCAGTAAATCACAAGGAAGGAGGCTGTCCATCTTTCTCCAACAGAACAGCTAGTGGATTTGAACCATGTACCTTTGAGTTGGCCTTGCAGCTGCTTCACACTAGGCTACCAGAACTCCCAATTAAGGGCTATTTTTGTCCTGAAAGTTGAGATATGAAGGTGATTTCCATTTAAGCTTAAAGGTCGTAGTTTCAGGGATTCCAGGGGCTTGGAGTGACCTCTGTGTTAATTAAAATCGTGCTTATGTTAAAAGCCGTTGCTGTTCTGAGGAAGCTTAGTCTAGGCAAGTTCTGAAGTCTACTGTGGATGTTAATGAAAATTTCCAAGAAGGGAACAGGTATGTCAACGAGTGGTTGCGACAATGTTATGGCTGCTTTGGAGGTTTGGAAGCCTCAGAGAAAACATGAGAAAGTTTTAAGATGACATTTGGACTTATGTCAAGGTTCAAAGTGCAGTCTGACTTTACCTGCAGTCAAGCTGCAGCTTTCCGGAAATCTTATGCTTGGGTGTTTTAAGCTCTAAAGCACTTTCCAATTGACCAAACTCAGTGACTCGTTGCCAGATAAGATTGTATATCCTGTGCCTTGAACTATGGGACAGAAAATAATTACGTTACTTGCTTTCTTTGAGTTAATGCAATCCACTCAATCCAATAGCACAGAGTAGCCAATGTTATGGTTGTAGTTGTGAAAGTCTGTTGTCAGGGACCTCTCCTGAATGCTGAAGAGCAAAGATGTCATTCTAGAGAGTAAGATATACCTGATCCAGGCAATTTCTTGCTATGCATCAGAGAGCTGGAAAATGACTAACAATGACAGAAGAAGACTTGATGCTTTTCAGTTGTGGTGCCAGAGAAGAGTATCAAACATACCATGGACCACCAAGAAAACAAATAGGTCTGTCCTGGAGAGGGTGAAACCAAGTTTCTCCTTAGAGGCTAGGATTTTGAAGCTACAGCACACATGCTTTAGCATGTTGCCAGGAGGGATGAGTCCTTGGAAAAGGACACTATGCTCAGAAGGGTCGAGAGACAGTGCAGGAGAGGAAGACCTTGGATAAGATGGGGCAGGGGTCTCAGAGACAGTGAGATTGGCTCAGGACAGGGCAGGCTTCAGAGCTATAGTACATAGGAGCTCTATGAGTCTCAGCGGACTCAATGGCACATAACAACAACATGATTATCATGTAGCTTAGTGGTAAGAAGCCATGCTGCAAACCCAAAGGAACACAGCTCCAAACAATATTCTTTGATGATGATGATGATGCAGATTTTTTCCTCACTTTCCTTCGTTGACATTATGTTTCATTCAATCATTCCCAAATGTTGTGTTTTACAAAATTAATCACCATTGAGAAAAGAGAAGCTACCGACGGGAAACAAACATTTGGTAATACCATCTCAGACACGAGTCTCATAGCAAAACTTTACAGAATATACCTGGGCCTCCCCAAGAAAAAGACTGATAACACAGTTACAAAATGGGCAAAAGACATGGAAAGAATTTTCACAGAGGAAGATGTTCAGATGGCCAACAGACACATGAAGAACTGCTCCAAATCACTGGCAAAAAGAGAGATGCAAATCAAAACCACAATGAGATGCCATCTCACTCCAGTAACAGTGGCAAAGTTTAGCAGGACAGCAAGTAATAAATGTTGGAGAAGACATAGTGAGATAGGAACTCTTAGACATTGTTGGTGGCATTGTTAAATGGTACAACCAGTCTGGAAGGCAATTTGGTGCTTCCTCAAAAAGCTCAACAAATTCCATATGACCCAGCCATTGCACTCCTTGGAATATACCCTGAGAATATGAGAACTGAGGCACAAACAGACTTACACATCAATGTTCATAGCACCGTCATTTGCCATCGTAAGAACATGGAAACAGCCCAGATGTCCAACCACAATCGAATGGATTGAGAAATTATGGTACCTTCACACAATGGAATACTACACAGCACACAGGAGCAATGATTTTGTAAATTATTACCTAACTTGGGAGTACCTGGAAAGCATTACATTTAGTGAACTAACTAAGCCCCTCAAGGACAAATATTGTGTAAAACCATTATTGTAGAATGAGCGTGAAGATCCAACGCGGGGGACGGGGAGGGAGGGTGGAAGCAAAGGGATGAGGATGTGCGGGGGAGGGGGATTAATCATGAGGTTGTACAATTTGATGGGGGACAGGTGAGGGAATTTGGAAGAATCTGGTCTGAAAAACAATATTTCCAAATTTTGTAAGCAAACTAGTATAAATTCTTTTTTAAAATAATCACCATTGAACTATGCCCACCATTACCACAACTTTTCAGGTCCCTGCCAGATCTTTGATATTTCCTTTACCCCCTCCTTCCACCCACCCAATTCTGTGACCCTGTGATTTCCCCCTACCCATCCTCAACCCTCTATTCCCACCCCCTTTCCCCTTGGGCCCCTGTACACGTTTTACTAGTTATCCTTCTATTTTACAATAAGGGTCTTATGCACAATCAAATGGGTTGATAAATTGTGGTACACTCACCCAGTGGAATACTATGCAGCACTCAGGAGCAACGATTCTGAAAAATCCTACATAACTTGGGAGAGACTAGAGAGTGTTATGCTGAATAAATTAACTCAGTCTCATAAGGACAAATATTGAATAAGACCTTTATTGTAAAAATAGAATAAAACAAATTATAATAATAACTTAATAAAATGTATAGCAATTTCCTCTCAGCACAGAAATCACAGACAAAATCTAAGTGAAGGTGAGTATCCACAAATGTGGTCCAGGATGTAACTGCCCCGAAGACACTTTTCCAACTGTCAAGAGCCCACCGTCAATGTGAGCCGTGGAAGGATGATGGCTGCAGAAGCCAAAACCCCAGGGTTGGGAGATTGATAGTCCTCACACTTTGAACTGGGATCTTACTGAGTTACATCCCATCAAACAAAAACAGAAGCAAAACAAAAGGCCCTGGCCAATTCTGACACACAGCGACCCTGTAGGACAGAGCAGGACCACCACACAGAACTGCCGAGACTCCAGTTCTTCACGGAGGCAGAGCAGACCAGACTGCCTTGTCACTATCCCTTGGAACAGCTGGTAAATTCAAACCACTGGCCTTCAGATTGGCCGTCTAATACTTAATCCAGCATGCCACCAGAGCTCCTAGAATATGGATATAAAGATAAACGACACAAGAGGGTACCCTAAGACCATCTAACCATTTCACTGGAGTCCTGGAAGTAGAAGCAAGAAAGAATGAGGCAGAGGCAATACTTAAAGACATATTTGCTGGAATTTTTTCCAAAATTCCTGGACAATATTAATCCAAAGAGTTAAAATCTCAGCATTGTCTAATGAAGTGGCATATACGTGTTCTTTTCTCTGCTTTTATTACTAGCAGACATGCTTTAGGCCTGGAGTGTATAAATTTCATTAGGAATCCAAGTTATTAGGTTGAAAGGAAGTGGATGTTATGGGGGGTGGCCACAAACACCTATCACCTCGCCAGCCATCAATCCTCCACTAAACTCAGATGTCAGCAAGCTCATCAGGACAAGACTGAACTTTCTGAAATGCGTCAATGAAGGCTTTCAACACCCATGCCACTTTCCACACCATTTATCAATAAGTCTGATAGCTTCTCCTGTTAGTAAGTGGTTTTTGAGCCAACACATTAAATGCTTTCTTAACTGTTTAGAAGAGAACTTACTCTTAAGAGCCATTCAGGTTTTGTTGCTAAAAGCAGCCTGAACACACAGCTTGGGGCATCTCTGCAGCTTACAGACCAGAGCAGACTCTGCTAATGGAAGGGAATAAAGCCTTAGCTACACCA